GAGGGCGTCCCGGGTACCAGGTAAGCGCTTGTTGCGGCGCCAAGAGCACGACCTCCCTGGTCGTCCCCTCCCGATTCATCCTCGTCCCCAGACCCTCCCATGTCCTCGTCCCAGTCGTGTCACTTGGTGGGAACTAGCCTTGGCCCTTTCCCGAGGACCATGGCGGGCTTTCGCCCTGAGAATCCGGCGTGAGGGGCCGGACCGATCTTGTCGGCCGCGGGCTCCTGGCGCTGTGGCCCTGGTCCTTCCTGGACCGCCTGCCTCGGCCGAGGCCCCAGGAACAGCGGTCGGGAGGAAGCGCCGGGGCCGGGGTCCCGGAGGCCGGGGTGGGAGACCCCCTTCTGCCCGTGGCCAGCTGTTGTGACCTTGGGCCTGGGTCCCACGTCTCGAACGGAAGGCGTTTCGTTTCGGTCGTTGGGGGAACCTCCAGGTGGTACTTTGGAGCCAGTGATTTTCCTGAACCTCTAAGGCAGCGGTTCTCAACCTGGGGGTCAAACGACCGTTTCACAGGGGTCGCCTAAGACCATCGGAAAACACATCTATATAATTACATAGTTTTTGTGATTAATCACTATGCTTTAATTATGTTCAATGTGTCACAATGAAAATACATCCTGCATATCAGATATTTATATTACGATTCATAACAGTAGCAACATTACAGTGATGAAGTAGCAACGAAAATAACTTTATGGTTGGGTCACAACATGAGGAACTGTATTAAAGGGTCGCGGCGTTAGGAAGGTTGAGAACCACTGCTCTGAGGTGAGGCGTTGGTTCTCATCAGCTGTTTCCCAAACTTGCCAGATGGGAAGAACCACGGGGGATGCTTGCGGGTCGGTCGGATGCCCAGGCCTTCCTCCTGGAGGGTTGGTTCATTCATAGCATGCAGGTCCCCTCCAGGAGCCGGGTTTAACACCAGCCCCGCCCCGGGTGATTTGTAGGATCTGCAGCTTTGGGAAAGGCTGGCGGCGTTCATATTCAGACACGGAGTGCCCAGCCCTGGGTGACCCTGGAAGGTCACGGACTGGCCTCAAACCACTGTCCTGGCAGAGCCTTGCAAAGCTTATTCCTTAGTATCATGTGACAGGAAAAGCCTTAAAAGTCTTTATTTATTGCCCAACCTCTGTGGCTCAGTGGTTTAGCGTTGACCCATGAGCTAGGAGGTCAGGGTTTGATTCCTGGTCAAGGGCACATGCCCAGGTTGCAGGCTCGATACCCAGTAGGGGCCATGTGGGAGGCAGCTGATCAATGATTCTCTTTCATCACTGATGTTTCTATCTCTCTCTCCGTGAAATAAATAACATTTAAAAAAAGAATTTTAAAAAGTAAGATAAAAGTTTTTATTTCATGATTGTGCATTGTGTAGGGATTTGAAAACTATAATTCAGTGACTAAGGAATCCTGATTGTCTAATAACACTTGGCAGCCTTTTACTGCTACTTGCAGCCAGGTCAGGATAGTGAAGAGTATGCATTCCACACGGAAGAAACTCGATAAAAGGCATGATAGAGCAAAATTCACTTTGGAGAGGTGGAGACACACGTGGAGCCAGATTGTAGAGAGCCTGAATCCCGAAGACGAAGGAGTTTTGCTTTTGCTCTAGAAAAGAAAACCTTTTGGATAAAGCTCCTTTCGGAAGTGAGCAGCAAAACCAGAGTGCTGCAGCGGTGAAGGATGACTGGCTAACCTGGGCTTGTTTCGGGGGCAGAGGAGCAGGTCATTTGAAGTCAACATTTTTTTAAAAATATATTTTACTGATTTTTTGCAGAGAGGAAGGGAGAGGGATAGAGAGTTAGAAACATCGATGAGAGAGAAACATCGATCAGCTGCCTCCTGCACACCCCCTATTGGGGATGTGCCCACAACCAAGGTACATGCCCTTGACCAGAACTGAACCCGGGACCCTTGAGTCTGCAGGCTGACACTCTATCCACTGAGCTAAACCGGCCAGGGCATGAAGTCAACATTTTTAAAGAAGGAAGAACGTATGGACACAGCTTAAATTCTGTCCCAGAGTGCCGATGGTGGTATAATTGTCACAGCCACTTCTGCAGAAGACAGAGTTCAGCATAAGACCGATTCACCCTGATGTCCCTACCACAGCTTCTGTCCCAATGTCATTTATTAGAGCTATTTTAAGTCGGAAACTTTGTGGCATTAATATTTAAGAAAAAAAGGAGGAACTGAGTAGAGTGCTATCTCCTGACCCGATTTCATTCTATACTCGCCTGAGTATCAAGTGGAAGAGAAAGTTGACCCATGTGGGGAAATTTCCATAGGATGAAAGCCCTGGCTTTACAGTCATGTGGACTTGGATTCAAACCCCAGCTCTTACTATATCCACACAACACTTACTAGTGTGTGACCTGGGCAAAGTCAGAGGCCTCAGTTTCCTGGCTGTCAAATGGGAATAGTGCCTAGGTTAAGGTGTTTCTGAGATTCAATTGAGATCATGTATGTAACGTGTTTTTAAACACCCTGGCTATACTAAATATTAAAGAAAGACATAGTAGATACTGTTGATCACTGATACATTGATCATATTTTGCTAAAAGGGAAAATATTCAACTTGCCAAACCTAATAACTTGTCTCTTTAAAAAAACACACACATTAAGCTTGTGGTTGGGTTGTCTGCCAATTTCTTTGCCTTTCTTGCTGAGTCATACTTCTGCCTAATTAGTGTCCTGCCTGTTATATATTCTGGTCAAGCTGAGCTGTCTCATATCAGAGAGGAAATAACTTTCTGCCTTCAAGCTCTTTACTTCACTGCCAAGTCAGGGTGCTCTGAGGAGGCCGCCTGCTTTTTGGGTATGTTGGGGTTATGAAACCTTGGGATAATGAGCTCGTTCATTTATTCAAACTCTGGTATTGACAGCAAGAATCTCTAACGTGGTCCGCATTCCCGGGCAGAATTAGGTTGTGATTCTAATCACATCCGATGGTGCCTCGTGGGTGAAATTGCGCTTTCGTCTCTGCTCAGCCCTGACTCTCCTTGGCCGGTGGTTTGAGGTGTGCGCACAGCAGGGATGGCCGACTTTGGGGTCGCGCCTGGCCAGTCCGTGGCGGTGGTCTGGGACAGGCCCTCCCCGCCAGAGGCTCTGAAAGACCTGGTGGAAAAGCTGCAGGCGTTAACCGGCAGTGAGGGCCGAGTGTCTGTGGAAAACATCAACCAGCTGTTGCAGTGTAAGTACCTCCCAGGTTGTCTTTACAGGGTCGGGGTCGGGGGAGTGGGGAGCTTTTAGCGGCACTGCTGCATTTCTGATAAGATAACCGAGTTTTTGTTTGGTGGCACATGATGGCAGTGGCCTGTCACCCTGCTGTTTTCAGTTGAGACACAGTGGACTCAGGAGCAAGGTTGATTTGTATAGCACAGGGGTCCTCAAACTACGGCCCACGGGCCACATGCAAATACGAATACTGTATTTGTTCCCGTTTCGTTTTTTTACTTTAAAATGAGATATGTGCAGTGAGCATAGGAATTTGTTCATAGTTTTTTTTTAAACTGTAGTCCGGCCCTCCAACGGTCTGAGGGACAGTGAACTGGCCCCTGTTTAAAAAGTTTGAGGACCCCTGGTATAGCATGTTGTTTCTTTCTTAGCTACGCCACTTTTTCTTTTAAAGCCTACTCTTCAGCTTCCTCTTTGACTTCTTCCCACGAGCATATCAAAGGATATGAAAGTAGTAAGACTGAGGGAGAGCAGGGCAGCAGTGCCCTTACCCCTCTCACTAGCAATGGTGGTCTAATCGCATTTGCTGAACGGGTGGGTGTGCATTCTACAGGGCCAGGCGTGGCCTTGGTGCGGGCTCGGAGGGCTTGGGAGACAGCTCCTGGCGCCCAGGTGATTGCTGACACCGTCTTCCTTCTTTTCAGCTGCACACAAAGAATCTAGCTTTGACGTTATTCTAGCGGGTGCAATTCCTGGAAGCTGCACTCTGCACAGTGCTGAACTTCTGGCTGAGATGGCCCGGATCCTTCGGCCGGGGGGAAGCCTGTTTCTGAAAGAGCCAGTGGAGACAGCTGCAGGTAAGGAAGCCTGCATCGGAAAGACGGGACTTTCACGGGGTTGCATCTGTGCCTGTGCGTGCTGCATCTCTGAGCAGGAGCTCCCGTTTGGAGATCAGTATTCTTACAGCTGATCTGATCATTAGAGATACATTATTGTAAAAAATCCGAAGCTACACATCTGAAGAAATGTGTGATCTCTGACCCAGGAGGTAGTAAAATAGAAGGAAACTGCCTATCTGAACAGGGCTGGGTCCTTCAGCAGGTGAACGAATGGTTAATCTTTGCTATGTCTGTACCATGGGAAACCGTGCAGCAGTAAAAGGGACAAACTTCATATGTGCAGCACCTTGGATGAATCCCAAGGGAATCGTGCTGAGTGAAAAAGCCAGTCTCAAAGGTCACATGCTGTCTGATTTCGCTCATACAACATTCCTGAAATACAAAGTTACAGGGGACGGAGAAGGAATTGGTGACTGTCTGGGAGGTGGTGTGTGAGGCTGTGAAGGGCTAGTACAGGGCTCCTATGGTCAGAGAACAATCTATATCTTGATTGTGGTCATTGGTTACACTAAGCTACACGTGTGCTAAGATTGCCTAGAACACACACATACGCACACACACGTGCATGTAAATCTGGTGAAATTTGAATAAGCTCTGTGGACTATCAGTGTCGGCTTCCTGGTCTTCATATTGTATTAGAATCGTGTAAGATGTTACCAGGGGGTAAGTGAGGTTGATGGGTTCTCGAGACATCTCTGAACTTTTTAAACATCCTGTACATCCATAGTTATAGTTGAAATATAGTGACTGGAAATGTGGGAGTGATGAGGTAATTATTGATTCATGGGAAACTGTGATGGAATTCAGGAAATAAAAACCTCTCTTTTTTGTTCAAGTGGTAAAGTGTCGAGTTACTCAATTCTGAATTTTAACATTTTTTAACCAGACTTTGCATCAAAATGTGATGACTTATTTCACCAATAGAAATGAAAATATTTTGAAGTGTATGAAGATGTTTATGTGGAGATATAAAAACACTGGGAATGCAAACGTTGGGTGATAAACACAGTGTCTTTCGTCAGAAGTATAAAAAGATAACACAATACTTGTTACGTTAGAGTTTCTTAGCCTCTTTCTAATCATTATCTAACAACCCTGGAAGGCTTGGTATTTCCAAGAAGCAGAGAGCTATAAGACACAATAATGGAATTACTATCTAAAACTTAGGAGTACTGGTAAGAGAATTTTGAATAACCAAGTCAAATTAAAATATCACCGAAATGTATGTACATTAAACAGAAAAGGTTATTATTGTTCTAATGCCTGATGACCCAAACAGGAGAGAGCCTTTTTTATTTTTCCTGCCATCACCTATAAAGCTGCTGACGGGGGTTTTCCTCTTGGCAGGTAACGATAGCAAAGTGAAGACGGCGTCTAAGCTGTGTTCGGCCCTGACTCTGTCTGGTCTTGTGGAGGTGAAAGAGGTATGTTGGTGGACAGTCTCCTTTGCCGGGAACCCAACCCTGGGTCACTAACCTAGTCGTACCTCTTCGTAGACAATACAGAGAACCGGGGAAGTACCAGCCCTGAAGGGGAGGTGGTCAGTTCGCTTGGACTAGGAACTAAGCTGGGAAGTGCTTTCCATGTGAGATACATGGAGCCTCCAGGGACACAACCTCTGGGATAGTCCCCCCTGAAGAGGCTTGGCTGGGGCCCGGGTGGGGGGGGCCTATTCCGGTCTCAGTGCTGGTTAGTGATGCTGCCCGCTGAGGCCGCAGAGCGGAGCACAGATCTCTCAGTGGACGCCAGTCCTAGGCCCCAGGGAAGGGCAGTCACCTAGATCATCCTCGGATATTTGGTGGGCGGCTGGTGGAGGTTGGAGGGGAGACCCCATTTTTGACAGTTCAGTAGAAATATTTTAATTAAATAGAGGTGTTTATATTTCTACATTCTTCTCTGATGTTGAAATTTTCTTAGGTGTGAGGTAAGAATAATATAACGAGAGCCATTATACCATTGATTTGCTACATGACTGAAGACCTTAATTTATTCATGCCCACTCTTTATTTTTCTTTTTAGTTTAAGGTTTTCCATTTTTTATTCTAAAATAAGGAATGCTCACAAAAATTCGGTTAATACTGAAGAATATTGACCATGAAGTGATGACATCCCAGTCCTTGCTCACATGTCTCTCCCCAGAGGAAACCATTTATTATGTATTTGCAGCTACACACACACACACACACACGTATATACATATGTCATTACTTAATGTCAGTAAGGTCATGTGTATACATTGTTAGGTCACTAGCTTTTTGGACATTTACCCATCTGAGTGTATCATCCCTTGTTCGTCTTCATGATGTAACAGTAGTCAGTGCTATAGGTGGGCTGTGGTTCGTTTAACCATTCTATAATTGTTAGACACAAGGTTATTACTGTTTTAATGACACAGCACCCCCACCCATTTTTTTCACTTTTACTGTCTGCTGCTACTTCCCAAGGCACATAGGAAGCATTCCCTTCTCCTGTAGTACTTTTCCTCTCAGAATCTAAATTTTACTGTCTTTATGGTGGGTCTGCTTCCCCGCTACAGGCTTAGATCCAATCCAACAGGGCCATGTCTGATTCATCTTCACGATACTCACCCAGCCCTCACAATGAGTCGCACAGTGCCTTATGCTAATAGACAGATATTTGATAATGTTTTAAAACTTTGGAAAGTTTTAAAACTCCAAGTAAAATAGGCCCAAAGTAAAAATGTAGACAAAAGTTACACCCTAGGGCAGGGGTGGGCAAACTTTTTGACTCGAGGGCCACAGTGGGTTCTTAAACTGGACCGGAGGGCCGGAACAAAAGCATGGATGGAGTGTTTGTGTGAACTAATATAAATTCAAAGTAAACATCATTACATAAAAGGGTACGGTCTTCTTTTTCAATAGTTTTATTCATTTCAAACAGGCCGGATCCGGCCCGCGGGCCGTAGTTTGCCCACGGCTGCTCTAGGGTTATGATCAGTGAGAAACTGATGTGACCATGAGGTGATGTCTGTTACTCCCGCTGTTATCCTGTGTACTACTTAAAACAGCGGTCGCCAACCGGTGGTCCGTGAGGTGCGAAAGGTTGGTGACTGCTGGTTTAAGGAAACCTTTGGAGCAGTGGTGGCCAACCCGTGGACACTAGTGGTCCGTGAGGTGCGAAAGGTTGGCGACCGCTGACTTTAAACACAGAAGTTAGGATTTGGTGCCCATATAAGTGGGCTTAGAACATCATTTTGTAGAAGGAGTGTGGCCTGATCCTTTTTATGTCTTGAATTCCAGCTGCATCGGGAGTCCTTGAGCCCTGAGGAGATACAGTCTGTCCAAGAACATCTGGGTTACCATAGTGACAGTTTGGTCTCTGTGCAAATCACAGGCAAAAAACCCAACTTTGAAGTGGGTTCTTCTAGTCAACTTAAGCTTTCTACTGCCAAGAAGTCATCTCCTTCGGGTAAGACTGGACGTTCTTGTCTGAATAGGCCTGAAGGACACGTTAGGAATTGAGCCAGAGATCTGAATGATGCAATAGATTTTTAGAGGATTAGTCCTTCCTTAATTTCTGTCATTTCCAAATGGAAGAAATTAAGGAAGGAGTAATCCTCTAAAAATGGAAGAATGCTTATTGTACTATTTGTCCTAGGCATGTTCAGATCGCAACAGAACTAACGCATAGATATTATCTAGTTCAGCCCTTCTGCACTGGAGGACACTGAGGTCTCCAGATTTTATTATGTTGTTGTTTTTATTAATTTAAGAGAGAGAGAGAAATATCAGTGATGAGAGAGAATCATCAATCAGCTGCCTCCTGCACTCCCGCTACTGGGGATGGAGCCCACAACCTGGGCATGTGCCCTGACGGGGAATCAAACCATGACCTCCTGGTTCATGAGTCAGTGCTCAGCCCCTGAGACACACCGGCTGGGCGAGGCCTCGGATTTTAGAGGCCTGAGTCACAGAGCTTAGTTATTGAAGTCTCTCCAGACCCCAGAATTGTGATTTTATCCTCAGAAGACCTCATGGTGGTGTCATGATTGATAGGAGTGCCCTGCTCCTCTTCCATGTGTCCTCTGCCTTTGTGCCAACAGAGTTAGCTTTTCTTCCTTTGAGGATCCCAAGACTCTTGTAAAAACATTTCTTCTGCTCAGAAAATTACACTCCCCACCCTGCTTTGCATTTCCTATCGCTGTTTTTTAACGCCCAGGTTGAGAAAATTGTCCCAGCTCTGAGGTGTGCAAAGGTGTATACGTCCGGTCACACAGCTGTGTTTTGACTGTCCAGCTTACACCTTCAAGAAACCCTTGGGAATCCTAACCTTTGGGTTCATAGTCCCAAAGGTATGGTGGGAACAGCTCAGATGAGCAGTTTGCCCAGTGGAAGGTCTGAGCATGCAGTTGTGGCAGTGATCACTAGGGGGTGCTCTTACCCCCAGGCCCATTTGAGGACAGGCCTCACACTGAATTGGGATCTCAGCCCTTTTCTGGCCCTTCTTGGGCTCTCCTGTCCTGAAGAGGAACTCAGGAAGTGTGAGGTTTTCCGCCACCGATTTGTTACCCTGCCAGCATCGGCTCCAGAGCTTGTTTTCTTGTGTGTAACAGGTGTATGTGAGGCTGAAGCTGTGTGTTCATCATGCTTTTTGTCACACTCTCATTCACCTTCAGTCACCTGCAGGAGGTGTACGGAGTACCATTAGTCCGTGTTCTGAGGGTGGAAACTAAGAAAGGAGAAAGCAATGTAGAGTGGAAGTGAAAGCATTAGACAGAATGGCATGTGTGGCTTTGTGGCCTAAGTGTCCAAACCTGCTTTCTAGCTATGCAATTAGGATGACAGAGGCTTCCCTCCAAGGTTGTTAGCAGGATTAAATGAGATGATGTATGTGAAATGCTTCATGTAATGTCTGGTACAGAGCAATTTTTTTAAAAAGGATGGCTTCTGTGACTATCACAGTGATTGATCGGCCCAAGGTCCTGCCTTTTGTAAGTGGTAGAGCTGGGCCTTGAACCCATGTCTTTTGACTCTCAGTCCAGTACGTTCTCTGCACAGAGTCTCAATAGAAAGCACTTAGGTTTGCTTGTAGTTTGTTTAAGGCTTCTTATAGAGCTCTTTTTCTTTTTTTGGTTGGACGCAGTGAAGCCTGCTGTGGACCCTGCAGCTGCCAAACTCTGGACCCTCTCGGCCAATGACATGGAGGATGAGAGCATGGTGAGGCGGCACCTGTTGATGGCTTTCCTTTAGGCCCCACGTTGGGGATGAGTGTTTCTGGTTTGGAGCAGCCGCTCTGGACTCGTGGGTGTGAAGGTGTTTAAAGCCTAGCATTGAGGCTGTGCCTGTCACCGGCATTTCTCCATTAGAAGGAACCTCCCCATTAGTGGCCTTTGACATTTCTTTTCCGCATGTTTTCCCCACAGATTTTCTTGTTCTTACTTCAGTTGATACATTAAATACGCTCGTGGGCATGTGCAAACTTGAAAAGAGTTGTCAGCTGAAATGTTTTTATTGGCTCCTTTGGCCAGTCACTGACACTCACTGTCTTCAAAGCCATACTCCATCTTTGATTGGTGCTTCCATAACAAAGTTGTTCACTTCGCCAACTATCGAAGTTCTAGTGGCAAGCAAAGTAGGTTATGGTTTGTGCCCTCATAGAACTTACAGGTTACCTGTCCACACGTTTATCAGAGAATTACACAACATATGTATCATATCGGCCCTTTTCTCTGGAATTCTAGAGAAAATATTTTATTCCCCTTTCCACCTGACAGGCCTTCTTATACATACAGGGTGTCCCAGG